TTTGACAAATCGCTATTAATTAATTTTACTTTTAAAAACCTGTAAATTTTAGTGTTTATTAAATCGACATTTGCACCGCAGACCAAGCTGCAAGTGGATTTACTGTGCTCGTACTTATAATGTCATCAGTAGTATCGGCTGCTTCTTGTATGCGCATGTTTAAAAAGAAAGCTACATTCACTGACACATCAAATATTTGTGATATGTAGCTCAGATAAAACCAAAGCTGCACATTTACGTCAGACGAGTGTCAAATGCACCAAGAACAAAAGGGGACTTAATGAGTTGTCAGAAGACGCAAATGACCCTTCGTCGGTGATTGGAACTACGCCGACCGCAGATACCACGTAATTAATGTTTAGATTAAGTGAATAGCAACGTGTTGTAACGTTAATTTTAAGGAATAAACAGAGGGGAAACCAGGTGCTAATTTGTCAGTTGCTTTTTTTTCTTTTTATTAGAAAACAGTCTTGCTCAGTCAAAGAGAACGTAGAGTTCTGAACCCTGCAATGCCAACACGTCGCTTGATGGTGAAAATGATAATGAAATTTACTACATTTGTCAATCTTCACCGGGCTTGATGGTATGGCAAGACAATTTGAATTCTTTCTCGCTTGTATGACGCTCAATCACAAGAAGTAATGGGTGGGTGAAAAAAAGGAAAGAAGATGGGAGATTCCCGAATTGCCTAGTCATGTACTTGACAATATTGATAATGGAATAAATCCTTAGAAAAAAGGATCATTGTTGTCATTACTAGTGTTTTCACTTGTAAGAATGTATTTGAGACCATGTAAAATTATTCATTTAAGAAAATACCTGCCCGTGGTAACACAAGTAATCATTGTTACGGGTTAGCAACTATTTACGGAAAAAAATTCTCTAGCGCTTACTTACCCGCTATCCTCTTCTCTTTATTTTATTTTTTTAATTATTGCTTTGCGATCTTTCTATTTACCTCTGATTCATTCATCCATCCGTCCAACCAACCATCCAATTAGCCCTTTATCTACCCCCCATCCATCCTTCCATCAGTCCATTCGGACCGGAAGGCGAGTGCTTCGCAATCTTCTGCCACTTGACTCTACAAGTTGGTGAATACTGAAGGATGTCATTATGTAAA